CACACAGCAGTTTCGAGTACCATGGATGTGTGCTCAGTGCCCAGCAAGGTGCCGAGTTGAAGTAAGTGTAACATTCTCCTATTTCTGTACATTGGGAAGCGTTTCAGAGGCCCCTCCCCATTTCACTTTCTCTTTCCTTCCTGTCTGTTCCCAGGAAGGCCCACCTTCCCAGATCCATTCGGAAGCTAAGTCCTTGTCCTGGGGTCAGTTAAGGATAGTCCCTCTCTCTCCGACCTGCATCCACAGGTCAGCAAGCCAAGGCACCCTGGAGAGCAATGGAAAGCTAGGGAAGCAAGAGCAATGAAGAGATGGAGGAGGATTCAGGGATGGGTTATGGGTTCTCTGATCTAGTGAAGGGCCAGGCAGAAATCAGGCCATGGTGGGGCCTGAGGCCATGGTCCTGTCTGCTGCTGCTGGGGTGGCTGGGGCTCCTGTTGCTGTGGCTACTGGACACACTTGGAGGGAGGGTTTTCAGTTAGTATCCTGGCCCTAAGGTTCCAGAAACCCCAGGCCTCTGGCTGGCTTTTAGCTGACCAAAGACACAGGGTTGTGGAAACTTGTACCTAGGATCTCACAGAAGGGCCCACACCCGGGAGACTGGGGCTGAATGGCTCCCAGCATGTCAACTCAACCCCAGAGGCTCTTTCGTTTCTTCGCCCTCATATGGAAATGATATTGGCCTCATAAAAGATCCAGGTTCTTATTTCAAATTATGAAACAAACATTCTCCTCAGATAATACCATGTGGAGCCACGGTGAAGTTTTGAATTCCAGCTTCAAGGGGAACCTAAAATTAGTTCTAAGCCATAGCGTGTAAGTTTGTAATAAATCGGGGGCCATGCTCTGCTGCCAATTAAAAGTAACTGTTGGATACATTTCTTCAAATTATTTGAATTTATGCTGTTGGGATGCCCTTCAGAAACTCTTAAGTTGTGAACAAAAGTATAAGCTTCAAAAATAATTAATGCAATTTAGTGACAATAAATAAACTTCAAAGTCCTGAAAAAAAAAAGAAAGCACTTCTTCATCAAAGCAGAAAAAACAACCACGCTTCCAGCTCCGATTTGGAGCCGGCAAATGCCTGGTGATTTTGTCTCGAGGGAAGGGATTGCGAAAGACTGTGGAATGCGGGTGTGTGGGCCTTGTTCAATGTCACTTTTTCCTCTGGACAATGAAACGTTGTCATCTGAAGACACCATGTCCCATGAAGTGTCCATGGCGCTAGTTTCTTCTAGAAGTCCACCCTTGGACCTCCCAACATTTAGCAAACAGCTGTTTAAATTTTTGTTTTAACTGTCAACTGCTTTTTAAAGCAATCAACTTCTCTGCTTTTAGAACTTTCTAGCAAACTTTAGCCCAGAGCCTTTTGATTGACAGCTGTGCCTCCCTTGGCTGCCTTTGGAAACTAAAAACAAAGGATTCTCCAACCTGAGGAGTTTGTCAAAACACACAAAGATTAGTGTCAGGTGTTTATTGGCTTGATCTTCATAAGGATGGCAACCTCTTCATCCTGTTGTGTAGATTCCCGCTATTCTAGAGATAATTTTATGTGTATAAATAAGAGCATTGTCCTATTTTCTTTTGGTGACATCTGGCGCCAAAACCACCCAGCTTTCAGGCCCTCAGGATGTCTGTCTTCCCAACTTCTTTTTCTGGCCACAAATATGACTGCCCAAAGCTGACCAAATATCCTCCATGGAGTCTCCAGAGAGGAGAATAATGGAGCCTTTCTTGGAAATTCTTGTGTTTGACTGGAGGCCATTCTCTGTGAGTGTCTCCATGACACCAACACATGAAGTCAACTGAGGCAAAACTTGAATCATTGCCCCCATTGTGTGTCTGTGAGAGGATGAATGACTGGAGAGCCTGCACTGGTGACATCACTGTGGCTCAGTTATGTCTGGATAGGTATTCCCTTGACAGAGTGTTGACCAGCTTTGTTTCTTTATCTTCACTGGAGCTCAGGCACCCTGAACCTGGGAGCCTTGGTACCCTACTCCAGGAAGGCTGTGCTCCAAGTTACTCAAGAAGATGCACATCCAAACAGCTCTCAGTATACATGCCTGGACCCTGAATGCCCATACTCACTGTTACAGCATCCTTGCCAGGCAAGGGTATGCTGTGGTCCTGTGACAGTCAGAAGACCCAGTTCCAGCTCACAATGACTGGGATGTTCCAACAAGGTCATAAACCTCCCGTTCTCTGCCTCTTTTCCTTGCCATTCATCTATCCATCTCCATCCATTCATCTATTGATCCATCCATACTGCCAGCACTTAATGAGTCCCTACAATGTGTAGGCACCAGGGACTGAAAATCTCAGTTTGCCTGTTTTTGCAAGAGATCCAGAAGTTGAGGAAAGAAGGAAGTGACAAAGGATGGCAGGGCCCTTCACAGCATCCATTGTCCTGTGACCATCTTCCCCCATCTTCTTGGATTGGACCACCAGGAGAAAGACTGTCACTACCCAGATCCCAGCATGATTGCTGGCCCTTTCAGCCTCTTCCACAGACACCAGGGGGAACAGACCTGCTGAGCAGACAAGAAAACCAAAACTTGATCCCTTTATATATCAAGGAGACCTGAATGATTCTCTGCCAGCCAATTTTATTTCCAAATTGGAAGAACTTAAAAGTTGTCAAAAGTAGGCAAGATATGCACAGGCATGTCTATGTATACAGATCTGTGTATACACATGCATCCAGTAGGAGGGCGAGCGCATGTGTGCATGTTTTTGTGTATGCATGTGTAAGTTTGTGTGTGCACATGTGCACAATTTTATAGCAAACTTGTTGTGTTGTCTTCATGAGACTTTCACGTAAGGCCTACTTGTAGGATAATCTTTTTGTACACTGTGAATATATGTCTCTGCCAAGGTACCTTCTGATTTGTTTAATAAAGAGCTGAATGGCCAATAGCTAGACAGAAGAGGATAGGAGGGACTTCTGGGCAGAGATAGGCACTCTGGGAAAAAGAGAGGGAGATTTTGTCAACCAGACACAGAGGAAACAAGATGTACAGCACTGAGGGAAGGGAACAAACCACATGGCATAATGTAGATTAATATAGATGGATTGATTTAAGTCTTTTTTTTTTTTTTTTTTTTTTTTTTTTTTTTTTTTTTTTTTTTTTTTTTGGTTTTTCGAGACAGGGTTTCTCTGTGTAGCTTTGCGCCTTTCCTGGGACTCACTTGGTAGTCCAGGCTGGCCTCGAACTCACAGAGATCCACCTGGCTCTGCCTCCCGAGTGCTGGGATTAAAGGCGTGCGCCACCACCGCCCGGCTGATTTAAGTCTTAAGAACTAGTTGGGAACAAGACTAAGCTAAGGCCAAGCTTTCATAATTAACAAGAAATCTCCATGCCATTATTTGGGAGCTGACAGTCAAAAGGAAGTCCAACTACACCTACTTGATAAAGTTCTTGCCTTAAAAGCACAAGGGCCTGTGTTTGATACCCATCACCCATGTAACACATACACACACACACACACACACACACACACTTTCATATAGACTTCAGGGCAGTGAATGTAATGGTGAGGTGTTCTGGACTCTGGTTTTCTTGGCTCCTGGTAACATTAACTGCTTGGGGACAGTTCCTTGATGGCCCATGACTGAGGCCACAGGCTCTATTACTCACCTGGACTTATGGAACCTTTAGGACTCCTTAGCCTCTGTACTATCTGACTTTAGGGACTTCCTTTGAAATCCTGGCTGCCCTGGGTCTCCACTCACTGCTGCCCATCAGTATGAGCTCCTTTGCCTTCATTTCTCTGGGATCATGGAAGATTATTGGTGCTCTGAAGGCAGAGGGCTTACTGGTATTTAGGGAACATGGGGAGCTTACAACAGAGCCAGAGCAGAATCTGGGTCTCAGGCTCTTATGCAGAATCATCTCCCATCTATGTGACAGCCCTGCCTCTTCCTGTCCTGATTTTATATGGGGGCACTTGAATCCAGTGGAGATCCACTCTCTTCCACATTCTCCTTCTAGTCTTGGCAGGCAGGGGTTCCCTCTTCATCTAGGAGACCCATGAGAACTTCCTCTGGAGTCTCAGGTCAGTGTTATGGCAATCACAGGCAAATCCCCGTGGCATCACTTGGCCTCATTCTAGGGAGTAACTCCCCTCTCCATTAAGCCCCAGAATTTAGTTCATCTCAGACAATGGTCATCTACTTCCTGCTTTCAGTTTCCACATTGAGTCTATAATTCAAGGGTGTGAACCAGATAGGTAAAAAGGAATAGGGAAAGAAGGACCAAAACAATAGTCATTGTCAGAGCAGCAGCAGCAGCCAACATGAGATGTCTCACAATGCACTTCCTGAATAAAGAGGACATGTGCAGATCTTAGCAAACAGACTTATTCATACTCAGGATGATCTTGAAGGAGAGGCAGGCTGTGGAGCAGAAAAGAGGGCTCAATATTCTGGAGGCCACAATTCCTCCTTCCTCCTGAGAAAGGAGGAGAGATGTGTCTGTTTTGCTGGTAAGATGCTCCTGCAGATATAATCAAACTCTCAGGTACATGATCTGTACAAATGGGAGAGAGTAGGTACTTCATCAGGGATGAATACATGGGCCTGTGGAGATGCCCCACATCCACAAAGACCCCTAGAGCTTCTCAGGAGCCTGCACCTTGATGTCTCTGATATTAGACTCCTGAATAACTGTGGCTCCTGTGAGGCAGCTGAGGAAAGACTGGGTATCCTAAAATACAAATTAAAAAAAAAACAAAAAACCTCCCTGAATGGAAGCATACAGATGTCAGTAACATTCAGTGTTAGACTTACGTTTAAGACCTGGGGAAGTGGACTCATGCAAAACAATGTGGGATTTTATCCAATAACCCTTTAAGACAGTCTCCAAAACCACAGGATGACTTTGTGCTGAATCTGAAGGGAGCAGCAGGAAGGGTGGAGCCAGTTTGCTGACTGCCCAGCCTTTGGGGTATATCCTGGCTCTGGGCCTGGTCTCCCAGTAACTAGTGACTATCTAGAGTCACATAGGTGCCATTCTTCCCGCTATGCATACTACTAGGTGATCTTTAGCTCCAGCACCACAAATCCCAAACCATCTGCTCAAACTTGAGGTCTTCAGGCCTCTGTGAGCTTCAAATTGATGGACTTTCCAACCTGGCAGGCACATCCATCCTGGAGAATAGAAGATGGGGAGTAGAGAATGGAGCCACCATCATGAGTCACTGGCATCTGCATCCAGTTGTAAGGTATTTTCTTGTTTAGTGATCAATGGGGGAGAGCCCAGCCCATTGTGGGTGGTGCCATCCCTGGGCTGCTGGTCCGAGGTTCTATAAGAAGGTGGGCTGAGCAAGCCATGGGAAGCAAGCTAGTAAGTACCTCCCCCTCATGGCCTTTGCATCAGCTCCTGCCTCTGGGATCCTACCCTGTTTGAATTCATGTCTGAATTCAGCGATGAATAGCAATGCTGAAGTGTAAGCCTAATAAACCCTTTCCTACTGCTTTTTGGTTATGGTGTTTTATCATAGCAATAGAAACCCTAAGACATGAGAAAAGAGGGGTGGGCATTCTATCCATATCCTCTGGTCATAGACAAGCCCTGCTTAAAAGTCCAGCCCCAGCTGGGCATGGTGCATGCCTTTAATCTCAGCATTCAGGAGGCAGAGGCAGACGGATCTCTGTAAGGTCCAGGACAGCCAGGGCTACAAACAAACAGGCCAAACCCCACACAGAGGACACTGACAGAGTTGGCAAGGCTCTTAGCAGACCTCAGCACCCTATGCTGCAGCTGCCCTGTGTGAATCAGCAAATTTGAAACTAGAAGGGTCTGACAGGTGTTAACAGCCCCCTGCTCCCCTTTATCCCTCCCTGCTTTCCTCTTCTCTTCCTTCCTCCATGGCTTCCTCCTTCTCTCTCTGTCACTTCCTGTGACTGGGCACCCTCTAGGCCAGGCAACTTGCCAGGAGGAGCTACTTCTGTATCTCAAGGTGCCTTGGCTTGACTTTCTTCCCATGGCTTGCTCAGCCCACCTTCTTATAGAACCTAGGACCAGCAGCCCAGGGATGGCACCACTACCGCAGCCAATGGCAGCAACATTATGGAGGGAGCTGGGAGTGGGGATTCCAAGTGGAGTAACAGCAGACAGACAACACAGTCCTTCAATGACTGTGAAGGACTCTGGGTCAGAACCCCATTAGCTGAGCTGCTCTTGAGCCCTGAGCTAGCAAATTGGCACTTGATAGCTGAAGAAAATGCCCATGTGCATTAATAAATAAGAATTAAACTCACCTCTCAGAACTGCTCCAAGAAGCCCAGCCAGAAGTCCCACCTGCATGACCCAATCCAATAGCTTTGCCGTGGCAGCTCATCACCCTGCTCCTTGTTCACAGGTGGGAGACATGAGGCTTGGAAATATGCGCATAGTCATGTGGCTGGGATTGGGGTCCTGCCCTTCCATCCTAAAGCTGAGTTTGTGTGACTGTGCCACTGGGAGGGGTAGGCAGTCAGCTCCCCTTGTCTTGCTCAGTGGCCTTTTGTAACCCACCCTGTATCGCAGCATATTCCCTCCAGTGTGGTAATGGTTACTCTTTTACACATGAGCACAGTCTTCTGAGAAGGGTGCCTCTTGCTGTGCCCACATGCACTGCCATTGTGGTACAGTCTTGTCTGGTGTGCAATGTACAGGGTGATTAGGGGTGGCACCCATACTCATCCAGTGTCCCAAGGCTCTAGCAGTTCTTTGTAAGCCGTTTGGACTGCTGTATGATTCCCCTACTCACAAGCTGGCTGGAGCTCCCTGATTTGTTCTTCCTTGTTCCACCCTGTTCTTTAGGGCTTGCTAAGCTCTGTGAGTGTGCAGTGTGTGTGTGTGTGTGTGTGTGTGTGTGTGTGTGTGTGTGTGTGTCGGGGGAGAGGAAGGGGAGCTCACTGTCCTGAGCAGCCATAGGGTCACTAGTGTGTCAGTAGTCATTCACAGGTACTTCGCAAGCCTGTTGGGCTGGGGGGACCCACAGAAGCTACCTAGTGAGACCTTCCTCAGGGTCAGAGAAGCTGGGCTCACTTTACCTAGCAGGGCTACATAATGGGATGATTTGACCACAGACGTGTTTACCAGGTGTTTTGAAGGGTCTACACTTGGCTGTACATTGTGATTTGATCTTACAAGGGGAGGTCTTTTTCCTCTCCCCTTGGCATATTATAAAAAGCCCTTTTGAATAAAGGTCTGGGTGACTGGGTATTTACTCAGGGCCCTCCTGAAGCTATCCTGTGTCTCTGTCTTTCTCCTTGTTTCTATCTGATATTTCTTTATTCCTCTCTCCTCCACCCAAGAACCCTTCAAAAGGTCGAGGCAGGTCCTCCCACAGACTACCACAGTGGGCCTGCACCACATAAGCCAAAGTCTGCCTAGAGAAGGCTGACAGGTGAGGAGAGGGAGAAGCTGGCCCAAACCACAGTCTGGAAGGTGCAGGATTCTCACAACTGTAGCCTATTGGACTGCTTGCTTCTCAGTGGCTGTATTGCTCATGTAGGTATTCTCTTCGGCTGTCAAATACCAAAAATCATACTGGTTGAGTCTTCATCACCTCTTGTGTATTTCTTTTCATGATTATTTATATTATTATTTGTTCTAATTGCTTTATTTGCTTCTGGCATAGAACCCTGAGACCTGACTGAATTGCAGTTGAGTTGAGGCCCTCGTAGTATAGAATAGTGTGAGTTGGTGGGTGCAAATACAATATCCATAAAATCAGCTGCACATGGACACAAGTAAAGTTTGCAGTTTGGTTGATCTACTGACAGAGCCAGCCAAGGCAGTGTAATATGCTCACTGAACTGGAGGGAAACAGGCTTTGTAGGGCAACACCATTCCCAAAGCAGAGGCTCCCAGCTCCTCCAGAGCCTCCTGGATGTACAGTGCCACCCACTGTCATTCCATGGGTGGGGGAAGAGAGGCTGGGTTGGTTGGTTGGTTGGTTGGTTGGTAGGTTGGTATCAAATATTGTGCCCACTTGAGCCCTAGGAGGCCAGGCATGTCCACTTTGACTGTGTTGCAAATGTTCTGAGCTGGTCTGGGGCCATTGTTTGGGGGTGTACTCTGTCCCACATCCATCGTTACCTTAGCTGGCACAACAACAGATCTGTAGAGCAGCTGGCACCTGTAGGGTCCAAGAAGGCAAAGTTGATTGTCCTACCAGAAAGAGCTGAGAGGACCCACAAGGAGATTAGGAGTGCCCCACTCATACCATGAAACACGCTGACATCTCTTTTTCATCAAACACCTGCATAAAGATGGGTGGAGTCACCTGCCAAGCTGTCTGAAGTCAGCTCTCTGGACTCCAAAGCTACACGAAGCAGACACGAGGTCAGCTCGGGGCACAGGCCTGGGACCCGGGAGCTGCTACAATCCAGGTTCTGCTTTTGTTCTTATACCTCACTTTGCATGAACTGGAGCTCCCTAGAAAGGCCCCTTCACAGCACAGGCTGCTTTGAAGGAGATAAACTCAGGTGGTCTCTGGTTTTATTGGGAGTATAGAATAGAGCCTGAGCTCTGCTTTCAGCTTTTTCCAAAAGGGAAACGTTTACATCTGCTTTGTTCTTGCTGCAGTGTGTAATGAGAACCTCATGTCTCGCTGGCTGGGCTGCATTCGTCTGGACACTGGTCAGGGAGTAGCCATCTCCAGAAGGGCCTTACTTGGGGCCAGGCCAGAGCTGCTGCATCTGGACTTCTTCCTATATCATGACAACCCTTTTTCCTGTGGGAGTTTAGAAGTGGGGAAGCTCAGAGAACAGCCGCCCTCCATCCAGGCAGGGATGTCGAGCTGCTGGTCCACGTTGTTGGGCATGGAATATGTGGCAAGAGAGCAGGACACTGGCTGAATGGAGTGACCAGTGGACGGTATGGAGTCAGGGGCAACTCTGGAGATGGACTATGTTCAAAAGCAACTAGCCACCATGGCCCAGACTGGAAGGAGGACTGTGAGTCACCCCCACGACAGGTAAGGTAACCACTGTCTCCATGAGATGCAGATGTCAAGAGAGGTAGTCTGGGTTTCTTCTGGTTTGATCAGGTGGGTAGCCGCTCTGAAGGCTTTCTCACATTCTGACACTATTAGAAAATAAGGGGAAGTACAAATGTTGACTGTCTCTAGAAGCTGTGTTAGAGCTGCAGAGAAGGCTGCCTGGAGACTAACTCCTCACACAGAGTAGTGCTGGGTAGGACATCATGGTCTAGTTCCTAACATCTCAGATAAGGATAAGAACAAGGGTCCAGGAGAGGAGGTGACATTAAAGTGACTATGAGTGGGCTTACCACAACTTCTTGGGACAGAGAGGTCTCTGTCAGCCTCCATGAAATGAAGCAGCAACAACCACACTGTCCAGTTATTTAAAAATGACACGAGACAATTCTCACAGGCAGTGTACCCAAAGTACTCACCTCTCTGATCTGGGGGCAAATCAGAACCTGAGGGCAGTTGCAGATCCAGACAGATGTTGGTGCTCTGAAAGCACTGAGGGGCAGGGTGCATAGCTGCCACTTCAGCTGCCACCTGCTCCCCTATAAGGGCAAAGGGGCCTTGGCAGTTTACCCTTTCAGCTGCAGGAGGGGTAGGAAGTGAACCCAGCTTGCCATGGAGGTTTGGATTTAAGTGAGCTCAGATGAGACTGGAAATGCTCCTTGCTTGAGGATGGCATAAAGGAGAACCCCAAGACAGAGAGTACTAGGACACTCCAGTTCTATGCTGTGTTCAGGCCTGTGGAGAAGAGGGGGCATCAGAGACTTATGCAAAACCCTGGACCTACAAGTGGGCTGGCCAAGGTGGTGCATAAGATGTGAGTACCAAGAAGGCCTAGGGACTGTGGCAGCCAGCATCCTACCAGGTGGAAAGAAGCCCTTAGACCTAGGTGTGACCTAGACACAGCCCACAGTCACATCCTGTCCTGCAGACTTCGTCAGGAAGTCGGTAGTAGATGGTCTGAAGGAGAAGGGCCTTACCCATGTGATGGACCCATACAGTAGTCCTGCTCTGAACAGCAGCAGAGGCTAGAAGGAAGGGCAAGGTGATCAACCCAACAGAGATCCATATACCCCATGCCTACCTGACTTGGAGCCCCAGGGGACTCCTGGTCCTTCCTGTTGTATTGGTGCATGCTTCCAGCACCTGTGGCCTGGTGGCTCAGTGGTCCTTATGACCACTGTCCTGGTGATTACCTCCAATCTTATTTATAATGTCCCCATTTGCCTGATATGAGAAACTAAGGTCAGAGAAATCTGCTTTATAAGCAGAGGCCCTAAAGCCAGGGCCGGCCACCAGAGAGGCCATCTGATGTCCTAACCTCACACTGGGGAAGAATTTTTCTGCTTCCAGCTCTGGGCACGTGCTGGATGAACAGAACCTGGTTACCTGAGGTGTGGGACTGGCCAGACGGCTAAGTGCTGCCCTTGGCTGGATACTCCAGAGCACTATTCCCTCCCCAGCACCCAATTTCTTTGTCCACTAATTAATTTATCTCAATAAATTTAGTCTCCCTGAGTTGGGTCACCTGCTCATGAAGAAGGGTGGGGTGTAGTCCTTGTATACTTAACACAGTACTTTTCAGAGAGCAACACTATATGGGAAGCAGGGGAACCAAGGTTACACTGGTCATGACAAACCGATGGCTCAAGTTGCAGTGAGCTGCTTGGCAGCATGATCTGGCCACTGAGCTCCAGCAAGCAAGCAAGTCGCCACGGCCAGCACAGCCCAAGTCATAACTGGAACTGCCCAGACCTCAGCTACAGAGCTAAGCATGTACTTCCATGTATTTGGTTTATTTCATCATGAGTTTGGCTTTGGATTAAAGGGCATGTGACACCATCCTTGGCTCTATAGTCCTCACATGCATAGGATCATGCATGTCTGATGGAGAGCAAGCTCTTGAGTTCCAGCAGCTGGGGAGTCTTCTCTGTGTCTAGTAAAGCCAGCTGTTGAAGACAGCAAGTGGAAAAAGCTTTATTAAGAAGGTTTAAGCAAACACAGAATAGTTGTTTTCCTATTGTACAATGTCCTCCCCTACAAAAAAGAAACTGTGTAGCCCACAGAAGATGTTGAGCCCTAGGACCTTGGATGGCTGGGATGCAATGAACTTTGGTGGCCTCCAAGGGATACCACCATGGTGCCACCCAGGTTACGCCAGGGTGCCTGCCAACGAAAGGCTCAGAGAAAGCCGAACAGGTGACCCTGCTCCAAACTGTGGGAAGCCTCAACAGAGATTTGTATAGATGTAACAATCTTATTAAATAAGAAACACAGAGCCAAATGCAGAGTTAAAAGCCCAAGAGATCAGAGCAGTTGCTAAGAGCTGATACTAAAAACCCTTTCTTACCCTTCCTGCGGCTGCCATCCTTCCCCTTAGAAAGAGGCCTACTTCCTGTGTGTCTGTCTTTTTTTTTTTTTTGAACAGATTTAATTCACTTTATTTTTCTTGTATAAAAACCCTTATGTGGTGGCCACAGCTGGAGCCTGGGTCCTCTGAACAGACACTCTGGTGTGGGTTTTCACAAGATGGTCAGTGAATTCCTGATAAGGAGATTTGGTGAACACAGTCTCTTTCCAGAGGTCGGGGATCAGGTAGCTGTAGCTCTTGGTGATAGCATCAAAGGTGGCCTTGGCTTGAACCTGGTCCACTGGCCAGCCCAAGTCTGCTTCTGCACTGGCATGATCTTTAGAACCTCATCCTTTAGGGATGCGCCCAGGAAAAAGTCAATGATCTTGGATTCCTTAGTGGGAAGGGAGAACAGGTAGATCTCCTCCAGGGACTTGATCTTCATGTCCTTAACCAGGCGGCCCAGCTTGGTGACGGGGATCCACTCCTTGTCTTCATCTTTACCTCCATGAGCTCCGTGGCCTCAGCTGTCCTCATGCTGCCATATCCTCCGCGGAAGTCACCACAGCCTCCTAATCCTGGGCCCCTGGGTCCTCCGGGCCCTCCCGCTGCACTGGCGGTGCCGCCTCACCAACTTTGCAGCTTCCAAATGCAAGTTGCTTCCTGTCTACCCATGCCTATCATGTGTCTGTCTTTTTATTGACTTTCTGTTCTGCCTTCTTATTGGTTGTAAACCCAACCACATGATCTCCTCGTCACTGACTGTCTATACAGACCTCTAGGTCTCTATGGTTGGTATTGAGATTAAAGGTGTGTGTCTCCATGCTGGCTGTATCCTTGAACACACAGAAATCTGCCTGCCATATGATCAGGATTAAAGGTGTGCACCACCACCATCCGGCTTCTGCTATGGCTTGCTATTAGCTCTGGCCCCCAGGCAACTTTATTTATTAACATACAAATAAAATCACATTTCAGCACAAATAAAATATCACCATAGATTTGGTAATTAATTGCCCTGGTGAGTTAAGCCATCCACCTCCATACTATTGGCTTCTTCATGAGCCTGGGCCTGCAGACCATGGCTTACACCACAGTCCTTACCTAAGAAACTCACTGCAAGAAGAGTGTCAAGGAGTCTCTGGAAATACATCGCCATGCAGCTGTATTCCAAATGGGGGTTCCCTTCTTTGACCCACACCTTCAGTTCTGGTTAGGGCTAAAGCCACCATACAGAGCTGTGGTCTGCCATTTGTGAGCTGGGCCCTGCTTTGTTGCCCTTCAGAGATGAGGCAGAGGCTGACAGAAAGGGATGGGATAAATAGACTTGGTGAACCATCTTGGAAATGCTTAGCATAAATATGCCTGAACATGGAAGGTGTAGGTAGCAGAGAAGTCTGCTAGCCACGGCAGCACCCATGCCACAGCCCCGTTGAGACAAGGGCAGAATCCAAACAGTTGTTTGATCCTAAGGTTTGTGATGAGAAATCAGACCAGCAAAGTCACCAAGCCAGGTTAAGACAGGGTGACTGTCAAAGGCTCAGAGAAAGACAAACAGATGAGCCCGCCCCAAACTGCAGTATAGATAACATGGAGTATTGATACCTCCAGAACAAGCAGAGGTGATATCCATCATCTTAAAGCCACCCTTCGAGGGGTAAGAGACTGGCCAAGAGACCCCAGGGAAGTACTCTAGGGGTCTCCTGGCCTGAGGTGAGATCAGCCCCAGGCCCATGTGGAGCTGCCCCAAGAGTGAGCATCTTAGAATCAAGAAGCTTGTCCTCATTTGGGAGGATCTAACAGGCACCACAACAGTTCCATCATTTCATTATAAGATACCACAGAAAAGAGGGCTCTGTTGAGCCCCAGTGGGGATTGTGCAGCCCCAAATAAATGGAAAACATTCTAAGAATCTCAGCATTGCAGTTATGTTTTCTCTTGGCTTTGCAAAAGTTTGAGGAATGTGTAATTATTTATGAAATGCCATTGCACTGGCTGTGGGGGTACTGTTTGAAGGGATGGCAAGGTACAATGGAGTCCCTCATGCTCCCGGGTCATAGTGCTGTGGATTTCTGCCTCATTGGCCACAGGCATCAACATCTTCAAAATAGGCAGAGCTGGATCCATGTACTGGGTGCTTGCTAAGAGCAGGCTGATGATGGCTCTCTCCCATGATGCCCCACCTGTGTCCTCCTGGGTACCCCACACCACTGCATTACCTGCAGTCCTGAGCTAAGGCTGGCAGACCGGGTCTTTCCTGCCGAGCTCTGGAAGGCTCCTTCAGAAGCAGCTTCTCTGGTTTGTGACCCTGAGCTTCTGGAGGGACCATCCTGAGAATAAGCCAAGGATGAGGCTAGGTGAGAAGCTCCTCAGCCAGTCTATCTCTTACTCCTCCCAAGCCCTGGCATCATTTTACCTTGACCCAACAAGAGCAGCCTTGAGACTCAGGTTTCCATCCATAGTCACTAAGAGGGACCCATTTTTCAGATGGGAAAATGAAGATGCAGAAAAGAAGGCACTTTGTAACCATGTCCATCTGGGTGGTGAGAGCTGCCGTGGGGTCACAGACAGACCTACTTCCTGTGGGGGCCCACATTCACAAAAGGAAGAAGGAAAGCATATGACCACCCTA